GAAATAGTAGTTACAAGGACAGACATTTCAGAAAAGTTAATATCTCCGTCCTACTCGAAGTTGTTAGAAAATCTGTTTTTATTTATCGATTCCAAAATTATTCTAGATATATTTTATGGTATATTTCAATCGAGTTTATTTTTACACCCTTATTTGCTTAAAATTATTAAATAATTTGCTTAAAATAAATTATACAAGCTATATGATATAATACATTTATAGTACAATAGTAAACGGAGCTTCCATCACAAATCCTTAACCTTGATACCTCTATCATTAAATTAATGGAATAAGCTTAGATAAATAATAATTGTTTAAAAAAAATTCTCGTTTTAGCTTCCAGCAATAATATGTTTCGTCCAATCAGATTTCAATTCTGGAAATAACAAAATCATTGAGTAGGTTTCTTGGAGCAATATCATTCTTATCTTATGACAAAGTATACGATAAATTGGTATTCACAGTTTCGATAAAAAGCATGTTAACCTTCTCGCTTAGTATTTATTTTTTTTTATCAAAATAAGTTCAAAAATTGTGTATTTTTTACTACATTTCTCAAATCAGAAATCAGATGATGATTCTAAAATTGACACGGCTTCAGATCTTCGGAATCTTTTTATAAATTTCAATTTTCAGTATTTCCTGTTTAACTAAATAAGACATTTTCCTAATAACAAATTATGCTACAATAATATCGTGGGAATTGCGCCGAAGTTGACAAAATAATTATATCAAAAGTAAATTTTTTCAACATTTTTTTTTTTCAAAAGGAACTTCTTTCTTAAAGTTAACGGTGTAGCATATAAGTTTAGACGTCAAAATAAAATTGCAGTTCAAATTTGTTCATTTAAAAAAAAAAGCAAAAATATAATGAAATAACTAATTGAATAGTTCTGTAAATCACACGTGACCAAGTGATTAAAATTTTAATTTCACGTGATTAAAATTTTAATTTCAAAATTAAGATGTTAGGATGACATATAAAATACTGAGATATTTTATGGCGCTAAAAAATTTTGGTATTCTACGTATTCGACAGCTCTTTATGTTCGGTATCTTTATAATCCTTGTCCTTCCTTCCTTCCTCACTGGCTCGACAACCCAGGATGGGCCTTGGCCTTCTCCAGTAGTTTTTTCCAAGCTGTCCTTCTTTTGGCAATGAACTTCCAATTCTTTATTTTTAATATAGATAAATCTTATACTCCTTGTAGTGACTTATAAAACATCCACACTATTTTAGATAATCTATGTTGAAGTCGCAGGAAACTATAAAAAATTACAATCAATCATTTATCTTCCTTATTCGAAAAAAATAGTATGCTTAATAAATAGTCAGTTGTTTTGCATTGAATAATTTTAAGCAGCGGAATGCTTTTAATTTCTTAACAATATTTAACACTTGTTGTCAAATAACTTTAAGAATACTAATTTGGTGACGTAGTCAGTGGATACGAACATTCTCATGCTGATTATTGAGTTCATCTGACATAGCAAATAAAAAATAATTAAATATTAAAGAACGTGCAAAAAACTAATTTTTTTTTAATGACAGCTAGCTTTTTAGCGATAGGCAATACTGGTGTGAGAAATTAAGAAAATTTGCAGACTTCGATTATCTTTAGAACTACCGGATCGATTTTAAGGAAATTTGATATGTGCATACATTGATACATTGCAAAACAAATAACCATTCAACAATTGCAATACAGTCGGATAGTATGAAACAGCGGTATGAAACAACGTTGGAGTCTGATAGTATGAAGCAGCGGTTGCAGAATTTTAAAAAAAAAGGTTAACAGGGGCTATGGTCCCCTCTTAAGGCCTGATTTCTTAGGACAGGACGCCGTCAGCTGGAAATCAGCGCTAACCTCTGATTGGTCCATTTGTGAGTTGGATAGTATACGTCATCGAACGCTTATCTTGAACTTCAATTGCCGTCCAACTCAACTGCAGTTGGATTACAGCGTGACGTTAACCACAGAAGCAATGGCGGACAACATCCTGTTGCACATTGAAATCAGCCAAGATTTTGATTTTGACATTAAACATAGCTTCTTCATTAAACATAGCACTCTTCATTTAGCTCAGCTATAATGTGTTTTTTCTTGGACAAAGTCATTATTTGTTCTCTAAAACACTGGTCGACAATAACAAAATCAATACAAATTCAAAATAAATATTTGTTTACGTTATTAACGCATGCGCAATGAGAGATAATGTCTGCGTTGGACCGACTGCTCACGCTGAGCTAACAAAAAAGTATTTTTTTGGCGTCAGATCTACGTCAACTTTCCGCTGACGCCCAGATAAGGCGCTAGTTCTAAGAAACCAGGCCTTGAGCTAACAAACCAGTATTTTGTTGGCGTCAGCGAGACGTTGACGTCCCGCTGACGCCCAGATAAGGCGCTTGTCCTAAGAAACCAGACCTTTACAGATATGCTGGCCTTGCAGCGTGATATCATACTTGAAATAAGGTGGTTTATCATTTCCTGTGGCAATTGGCCTGAATTGTCGTGCGGCAATTTCATACCTTCCGACTCCAACGAGTGTTAAGTATAATCATGCGTGTGTATTACAATTGTTGAAAGATTATTTGTTTTGTATTGTATCAATGTATCCACGTATCAAATTTCATTAAAATCCGTCCAATAGTTCTAGAGATAATCGACAAAGTCTGCAAATTCTCTTAATATCTTACAACAGTGTAGTTTGAGTATGCTAGAATAAATGGTTCTGGAATTATAAGAGACACACACAGATAGACTAACAAACACACTCTTCATTTTATTATCATTGATTAATTTAATCGTAGCACTCAGCAAACTGTGGTAAAATAATTCTGAGTTAAAAAGCTTTTCTCATTGCCATTTGATCGAGCTAAAATTTAGTGGTATGGAACTAAGATTATGTGAGAATGGTATTACATGCAATCAGAGTAGACAATAAATCGGGCAAAGGCGTAACCTTAGAGACTCCGACGGTCAATAGGGCTCCGAAATAAGATAGAAACATTTTTTCAAAATTAGGATAATTTAAAATCAATTCTTTCTTGACTTTTTTTTAAAAGAGTTATAAAGAAAATGTAATGAATGAACTGCTAAAAAGAATTTTTTTAATTTGTAGTCACAAGTTTAGATCCCTCGTCCCTTGAAATAAAGAGAATGCGAATAAAGTTGAGAATGATGTTAGCAAAATCCCCTTGATCGTTGTGTAAAATAAAAGTATTAAATAATTGTGGGAAATAAAAGTATTTTTAATTGAATTTCTGTAATATTGAATGTCAGTAATATACTCGCTTTTTTGTAGCTCGACGAACTGCGAAGGAACCGAGGGTGCGTGGTATCTGTCCTGGTTAAACTGTTCTATTATAAAGTGCATGACTTCACACGGGACGTCGGGCTACCAAAGCAGGGTCATCCTCTCCGCAAAAGATCAAATTTGAAAAAGATTGTCTTCTGATTATCCTCAAAGATTTTTCCCAGACCGTCGTCAATAGTCAAATGCGCAGCTCTAGTGCAACATAAATAAAGTGTTACTACGACTGCTTCTTTGCATGCGAATTCGATGAATCGAACGAGTCCCCGATTGGCGTGTAGTTCGCGGGTGAACATATTTCACCAATTAGGTTCTTCTTTGCATCTTCGAATTCACACCAGCGAATTTTTGGTAAAGAAGCATTCTCATCGAACTTCGGGGGAAAAAGGGAGTCGGAAAATGAGTTTTTTTGCCGGAAAATGTATTTCACTAATCAGTTCTCAGATTTCCTTTATGGCGATTAGAAGTACTGCAACTGCATTCAGTAAGATTGCTTCGTAACAGTGTCTACACTAGACTGTTAAAATATGACTGTTATCAGTCCATACATATAAGTGAGAATTCGAGACTGTTCTTCCCACCACCGATTATTGGATGCGAATTCCGCTAAAATATATATTCTTACACAGACAGCTCACCAATCAGGTTCTTCTCCCTCGGATACTCTTGAAAGTGCGTGAATCGCATTTAGAGGCCATAAATATAGCCCCTGGGATGTGCTTCATGAAAGGAACTGCTGTCTCAAATTATCAATTTGAATGAATGATGTTTTCTACTCAAGGGTACACTGCAACCTCTTTACTGTTTATACTTCCGCGTTATGTTTCCGGTGCATGTTGAAGCCATTTTTCTCACAACGTAATCACTGTCTTTTGAGACTCTTTTGAGTAGTATTTCTTATATACATGCATTTGTTACCTGGTTTATTATGTTTAGAAAAAAATCGTTTTAAGAATCGTCATTTGAAGACCAGTCATTTCAAGACGTTATAATAAAAGAGTTTTCTGCAATTTATAAATTCTTACAGATCGCTCGTGATTTAACAAAATTTATATCAAAGCATGAATTGAGTGTAAGGTTGCCATCTTTTGTTGTCTCCTATTTGGCTTTATTTGTGTAAAATAGCACAACTTGTTATATTTTGGGTAGCATTATAGCAAACTTGTGGAATCATCCGAATTCATTTATTGTTTGGTTCATTGAAAATCAGATTGAAAGATCGTGTTATATTGAAAACACTACAAGAATAATTTTATTGGATGGTGCGTTTTTTCAAACATAGGCTTAAAAATCAGTCGGAAGTAATAACCCGGAAGTCTAATGGCGATTTTTGACACACAGTGCCATCTGCACTTAATACAGCAGATTTGAGTTAAGAAATTATATAATTTATTTCTTTTTTCGAAACAAAATTATCTGTTTAAAAGCATCGTTTTGCAGAATGAGCTGTAGTAAGCAGCTGTATACTTTTTAACCAGAAGTAAAGCAGGTCAGGAGCTCGTGAGTCCAACCATCCAAAAATTACAACAAAAAAAAAAGTGTCACTCGCATCTCCAAAATCACATGCAGTGAGAATTGCCTTTAAGTAGGTAAACCAGATCAGGTAGAAGTCTTAGAAGCTTGCATAGACATTTTTGGTTTTTAAGTTAAGCTTTTACATACTTTAGATTAACAAAAACAAAAAGCCCTAAGCGTTATTGTATAAAATTGCTACTGTTTGAGTTTATACCGTCCGTTCCATTGACGTTCTTATGTAATCTTGAAATGTAAATGAAATCAAACTGAAACCGTTTATTCACTGGACTAAGTCGTAAAAGTTTAGTTTATGTACCCAAAGCGAAACCATGTGTTTTAAACAGAAATTGTTTACATTGATTTACGCAACTAGACGATTGCTAAGTTGCAGTTTGTAAAATTTTAATGAAATTTGGACTTATTATAGAAACTTATTTTCTTTTCTTCTAAATAAACATTTTCTCTTGTTAATATTTACGTTCATTGTACTATACTCATCAGATTTAGTTTATTTTAAACTAGAGGGATTAAGATCATCTGGAAAAACTATTTATCTTTACTTTCGAAGATATTATAACCCGGGTAAGTTTCTAGAGACTTAAAATATTTTTCTACTCAAAATGAAAGAGAATACTTCAATATATGATAATCAGATTGTATATATAATGCCAATATCATGTTATTTATGCACATGCGCGGTGGGACAAACATAGCATTTTTATAAACATGATAAGATTTGCATCTAAACATGAAAAGATTTATAACATGAAAGTTTTTTTAACATGAAAAGAATACTTATCGGTGCCTACGCCATAAGAATCGCGAGGTTTTGTTGTAATATTTCTTTTAGTATGTATACCTACTGATTAATTAATTTTACCTGAACTTTGTTGGGATAAATCGAGTGGTAAAGTAAAGATTTGCTTCTTGGTGTCGTTTCTTTTTTTTTTACTTTGATAGACTTCTTATTCTACAAACTTAAAATGTATCTGTATGAAATAACTGATAAATAAAATTTTACAAGTATCTGAATATTAGTTGGAATACTACCTAAAGTTAGAAAAAAAAAAAAAATTTCCCTGGTGAAAAATTACTTGTTTTAAAGTAAGCGGTGAAACTTTTTTAACAAATCATCGAATAAATTAATCTTTGATGATGAATGTTTCATATCTTCTCCTCCAAACTTTTTAAAAATTTCTGCAATTGTTCAAATTTTTCTCTAATTCTTTTTCACTTGAATTTCAATTACTTTTTTATGTTTATATTATTTTATTTTTTAGGTGCTAAGCATAAAAGGTTTGTAGTTAAAATACTAGTTTTTCTATTGGAGTTAATATATTGATATAGTTTATGAATTGCTTCAGTTGTGGTGTAACTGCCACTGTATTAAATACCAATTCATATAAGATTTGTCAACTTTATCTAGAGGTACCTTTTAATTGATGAAGGTTGACATAGTCAATAACTACATACCCCTCGATGGTGAACTGCGGAATTGATATGAACCTGCCAACATCGTTGGATTGTACACATTAAACAGTTGGTTTGCTTTAAATATGTGCTCCAAAAAAAGGTGAAGCTAATGAAAGTCTCCCGGTCCATAAACTAAAATGAGAAAAAATATAATGAGCAAAATGATATTAAAAAAAAAATAACTGAATAAATAAAAAACAGCATTTTTATTTACAAACAGAAAAAACACAAATACCACTAATAGACTTCTACTAGTGGTATTTGTTCATCGAATTCTATCACAGATAAAATTCTGGAAAGGGGAATTCCCCTTTTAAAATGTGGATATATTTCATACACATAATGGATGAAACTAAAAAAAGGCCACTATAATTGTTTAGCAATAGTTTACTTGTGATTTTTAATTTATATGGAGTTCATATCACTGAGAATCACTTCACCAGATCATATTACTGATTCATTCTCATTTCTCTGACAGGATGATTTTGTCCATACGACCATATCACAGACAGCTAATTTCACCTATACAATTACTGATTACTTCATTGACAGTTTAATATGCTGTCACAATCATATTGCCAATGAAATCATTTTGCTAACCTGAAATGATCGATTCAGTTTTGATTTCTATTTCCTGTCAAATATTCTTAATTGTCCAAATTTTTTACACTTACAAACTTTTAGAAATCATTTGACATTTATTGTACATTACATTGTGGGAATAATGAATATGTTATTAACAGTGTTCTCCTATGAAATAGATAAGGACAGGGTGCTTCCTATCAGAAAAAGGCACTTTAAGTTTTGAAAAGACAATCACCATGATTTAGCACCGTAAAAATTTATTAAAACCTGTAATAATGTATAATAATCGAATTTGATCCTCATAAATTTTTAAATAACCCTCTTATACTATTTTGTGTGTATATTTCAAAGAATAATTCTCACTCAGCATAGAAATAAGAGAAAATGTTTAGTTAATAAAAATAGTTAAAGACATGCTAAATTACAATCTCTGTGCATAAATGATTTTTCACAAAAAGTACATTAAAAAAATGATTAATTGATAAACATCTTGAAAGCTTTTTTCTTAATTTAAACTGAAAATTATGAAAAAATTAAAAGAGCTTTTTTTTTTTNAAAAATTTAAAGAGCTTTTTTTTTTTAAAAAAAAAAGGTATTTTTTAAAAAAATAATTTTAATCTTTAAAATCACTTAAAAATTTTATTATCATACCAAGTCCTGAAAAAATTTAACCAGTTGAGAATAATCTTAGTAAATATCTGTAATAGTAATCAGAATTCAACCTATAAACACAGATAATTTTTCCAGTGTGTATTTTTTATTTAAACTGTGAAATAATTCTTTTCCAAATGGAATATGAATAAAAAGGCAGGCAGTGTTTTTAGAAAAGGATCAAAGAGGGCACATGCATAAGGATTAAGAAGCAAGCAGTGTGGGTTGCCTTTCTAAAACCACTTAGGGATAGCACTGTTATTAAATAACATTCTTACTCCAATGTTTGGTTATTGTTTTGGACCTGGGGAAGCAATTATTAAATATTAGCACTGTAGAAATGTTTTATAAAAGTTTCTCTTAAAACTTTTTTTTAAATCTACTGTAAAGAATTGATCAAACAAATAATTTAGCTTAAGGAGGATTTGTGCTGTTTATGGTCTATCAGATTACTTCTTATTCTTCAGAACGACAGCCCCTTACAGGCCTTGGCTGCCTCAACCACGCCTAGCCTCCAACGCCTCCTATCCATGGCGACTTTTTTCCTATTGTTTATCTTTATTACTTTGAGATCTTTAGTAGTGTCATCCAGCCATCTAGTTGGAGGTCTTCCTCTGGCCCGAGATCCCGAAGGATTTTTAAAGGTAGCGATTCGTACTGTGTTGTTTCTGGACCTCTCCAGATATGGCCAAGCCATCTTAATCTAATGCTTCAGATGACCTGCACTATCTGTGGCTGTCCGTAGAATCTATATAATTCAAAGTTGTATCTGATTCGCCAACAGCCTCTTTCCTGTACTGGGCCAAGAATATTTCTAAGGATTTTCCTTTCAAAAACACCAAGAGTACGCTGAGTGTCTGCGTTTAGTGTCCATGTTTCACTTGCATAGAGCAATACAGGTAGAATAAGAGTCTTATAAATTGTAATTTTGGTTTTTCGACTGATTAGGCTTGATCTTAATTGCTTTCTTAGTCCAAAGAATCACTTGTTTGCCAATTTAATTCGGTTGTCTACTTCTGTCTTTATGCTGTTTTGGTCATTGATCATTGTTCCTATCAGATTACACCACAACATTTATTCTAATATTAGTTTTTATATTGGTCATGATATAACAAATATATTGATTCTAACTACACAAATAGCAATTTTGAGTAGTGTACGTTTTTGGTAAAAATCCAAAATATTAATTTCTGCTTTATTTTGTAAATGGACCAAAACTGTTTATATTCTATATGATATTGACTGTTGATTATGTCTTATTTTAAGTAGGTTACTTTATTAATACAAACAAAATGTAGTCTTGAATTGATCAAATGTAATCTTGGACTTTTTGAATAAGTACGTTTGCGTGCGTTAAGTACGTTTTAAGTGCGTTTTATTTTAAAATTATTTTGTCCAATTTTATTATGTAATGCACTGCACCTATTTTAATCAAAAGAATTTTTCAATAAAATATAAAAACGATCTACAATATTTTTGAACAATTTTGTTTTGGTATTAATAATTTATAAAGAATAAGCATTTTTTTAATTGGTGTTTTGTTTAGTACTGTATATATATTTCATTTTATACATTTTTAAAAAATCCATAAAATTTCCTAAAAATTAGACAGTATAAAGATAGTGTGCTTTTCCTCGTTTAATTTCTATTGTGTCATAGAATCTACTAGGTTTTTACACTTCATGTTGGTAGTTATGTATTTTGTGTTTTAATCTGAAATGAAGTATCATACTTCATATATTTCATTTTATACATTTTTAAAAAATCCATAAAATTTCCTACAAATTAGACAGTATAAAGATAGCGTGCTTTTCCTCGTTTAATTTCTAATGTGTCATAGAATCTACTAGGTTTTTACACTTCATGTTGGCAGTTATGTATTTTGTGTTTTAATCTAAAATGAAGTCTGAATTTTATATTTGAAAAAAATTTTCTTTTTCAGATTGTAGTATAAAATGACTGCTGCTGCTCAAAGGACTCCTGTTAGTCTTCTCTTTTCTATGAGCATTCAACATGGTTGGACTGCTGAATATGAATTGACTTCAGTTGAAGGAGCAAGTCATGACCCCACCTTTACATACGAAGTCAAAGTTCATGATGTTACTGCCCAAGCTTCTGGTCAGAGCAAGAGAAAGGCTAAGCATTCTGCTGCAAAACTTGCTTTAGAACAACTTCTCTCTCGTCCAGATATTGCTGAAAAGGGCTTCTTGTTTGAGAGCACTTCTGTTACTGCTGAAAATCTCGATGAAATTATCATGTATATATGACTTGTTATATGTTATTGATGTTTTTCATTTAAGATTCATAAATAGTATAACTTCTAAAACCTAGAGTTCTTAAAAACAGACACTTCCAAAGATTGAATGATTTTTCTTTTTTAAATCATAACAAAGAAAAAACTAGTTAAATCAATTTTAAACTGAAATGTTAATAGGCAAAAGCATGTGTGTTTAATAATATTGTATTTAAAAATCTAGATTATAAAACTCACATGTAAATCCAAAACTTTAACTGTTTAGAAGTGAATAATAAGACTGTGAATTTACAATTGAATTATCTCAAAGCAACAGGGTTGCCACAAGGTGATTGAAATGCAACTTTATTTTTTGTCAAACTATTTTTTCACATCATGAAATAATCCTTGAACTCATAAATGTGCAATTTTGGGCTCATACTATTCTTTTGAAAATATCAGGTTGCTAGCTATGTGGAAAAAATAACTTCAAAAAACTATGTCGATTTACAATGAGTCATATACAATTTTTTATATTCAGCCCGCAACTTTGTAGTATCCATTGGCTTAAGAAGGATATCTATAACTAGGAAATTGCCTAATTCACAATTATTTAAATTTATAGGCTTGCTGAAGTATTCATGGTTCAAGATATGACCCTCTCCCTGTACCGCATAAGACATATTTTTTTGCTGTAATTAAATTTCATTTGTTTGTTAAATCCAACATCTCATTAAATGCAGGCTCAATATAAATGGATTCTACTGTAGTAAACTGTAAAACATTGTTTAAACCGAAACAATACAGAGCAAAATTACAGGTGTATAACTTTTTTTATCTATATATAAGGCTTTTCTTTTTTGAAAGAACGATCTAGCGACATTTAAAAAAAAAATTTTACATTGAAAAAAAATGACACTGTTTAAAAACAACTACTGAAGTATGTAAGAGTTTTTAATTTTACTAATTTTTTCAAAAATGCTTTCTATTTTCTGTTTAATTTTAAAGTCTGCTAATAAAATTGCCTAAAAATTGTTTATAATAAGAAAATTACCAAATGATAATAATTATCTTGTATACCTATTTTTCCTGTGATTTGAAATATGTATTTTAAATTTAGAGTCAATTTGTGTAAGGTTTGTTAGACTTATGAGTTTAGCTAATTTAAAAAATGTAGTTTGAAAAATTGCTTTTTTTTTAAAGATTATTTGATGTGTAGTATGATCTAAGAATTGCTTCTCAAAAATATTCAGGAGCTGAGCAATATTCAGGAACTTAAATATTTTTGTTCCTGTTTTTATAATTTTAGATTTATCATTTTAAGGTATTAAAGCACCTTTTCAGTGAAAAAAGAAACTTTTTTTTCATCTGAATCTAACTAAATTTCTTTATTTTTCTCTTTCATCATCTGAATTATTATCTTATTGCTAAAGAGTCAGCATTGTTTTCATAAAAAGCATAGTTGGTTTTTTTTTCGCTAGTGCTAACTATTTTCATTTATCCGTTATCCAAAAGTTGTGCAATTTTGTTGTTTTAAACTAAATTATGATAATTTTTTTCTACTCATTAAACAGTTCTAGAAACAAGAATTTTTTAAAAAAAGAGTAAAGATATCTCATCTTTCCCTCTTCCAACAAGCTATTCTGAAACTTAATGTATCCCCATAGAAAGAAAATTAATGTATTCTCATAGATATTTTAATATATGAGGGGCATTCAAATAAGACCCGGTCACTAGTGTAAAGTAACAGTAAGGATTGAGTTTACTCACAAATGTTTGCTCACAATTCCTGCTTACTCGCCTGCATGTTCTGTAGTGGACGATAACTTGTGTGACCACCTTCTCTTCAGCGTACAATCACCCTGTCGCTATGCAACGTCAAACGTTGTGCATGCCTCAGTCTCTCTACCAATAGATGGTGCCGCCATACACACAGTTATGTGGTGCTCCATTACGTCTCATGCAGTGTTTCCCAAAGTGTGGTATGCGTACCCGCAGGGGTACAGGAACAGCTTAACTGGGGTACGCGTTCTTAAGTGAAATATATTGCAACAAACGGAAATTTCAAAAACTATTATTTATAAACAAAGCTAGCCATAAAAATTTACGATTACCTATTTTTCTATTGGCTACTTTTTGCAGAGTTAACAGTTAATAATTAGTGGTGTCAACAGCCAAGTGTGATTTTTAACTTTTGTGCAATTTTTTTATAGCAAAATATACATTCATTTTTTTTATTAGTGGTACACAGCGTTATGAAAAATTTAGAAAGGGTACACAAAAGTCATAAGTTTGGGAAACACTGGTCTAATGCAAAGTTAGACACACTGACCAGGTTTCATTTGAATAACCTTCAAATCTTCATAAACATTGACTCAAAACTGAATTTCATTCAGACCAACTGTGTATACTGTTTCTGTTTTTTTGTTTTATTTAACTGTAATTAACTTTGTAATTAACCGTGGTTGGTTACTTTCAGGGAACCTGTATCAGAGGCAGCTCCTGTTGGTGGAGATACCAAGAATTCTATTGGAATGTTGCAGGAATATTGCACAAAACATAATAAAATGCCACCATATTATGAAACGATTAATGAGTCTGGGCCACCTCATGACAAGATATTCCTTGTACAATGCATGGTTGAACAGTTTACTACTGAAGGTATTTTTATTAATTTTAGAATGAAGTTTAATTTTAGTTGAACTTCTTTAATATACATTGAATTAAACAATTGTAATTACAATAATTAAAAGGAAAATAATTATTCTCTAAAGCAGTGGTTCCTGAACTTTTTTGTCTCGTAGACCCCTTGCCATGTTTTTTGGTTTTGGATAGATACCTGATATTGATTTTTTGTAAATTCATCAACTTCAAATATATTTTTGACTGCTGGTATAATGCTACTCACTGTAAAAGATTTAAATTTCTAACTGTAGGGAAGTGTAGTATGAATAACTTAAGAAAAAACACGTGTTAATTTTGTACATTTGTTAATTAAATTCAAATTAAAACTAAACAAATTAAAATTTAGTATCTGTTATATAAAATGACTAAGCAATAAATAAATGCTTTTAGTGGGCGGAATGAACCTAATGCTTTAATAATAAATTATCAACATTTGGAATCAATCATATCTGAAAATAATAATAACTTAACTAAATAACTTAATAACTTAACCTAATAACTTAAATTTTAATAAAATTTTTACTTCTTAGCTACTTTTATAAATTATGTAGATAGATATATGTCTTTATATTATCAGGTTGTATAATGTAAGTAAATAGGTACTGTCAATGTATGTTGATTATTCCATCCATGAAATGCCAAAATTAAAGTCAGGACCTGCTTATATGAGATCCACTATAGTTGACCCCCATTTTTTTTCACTTGACATGGACCCCTTGCATGTTGTTGTTGACCCCTAGGGGTCGGTATAGACCACTTTGGGAATCACTGCTCTAAAGTAATTGTGAAATCCTTAATAGCTGAAAGAAAATCTGTTTTATTATTACAAATAAATTTAAACCTAACCAATCAAAATATTCTTGAAAAATTTTAAAGTATGTATAATCCAATTAAATTTTTTTTGTTATGAAGTTTAATATCAAGATCTAACAAATAGGCACTTTTAACATCTGAATTAGTCTTTATTAAGTTAAGTTCTTTAGGATAAATTTTATTTATTTAAATTAAATTTTTATTTAAATTGTTTACATAAGACAACTTTGGTTTTAGCACTTTTACATTTTGACTTATCATTTTAAAGTTTTTTTTTCTTAATATTTGCTTAAATTAATTTCATACTTTGATTGTATAAAACTGAACAACATTTATAAAGCTCGAATAATACAAAAGAAAAGATATACTGTAGTTTTCTGTAATCAATAGCCTTCTTCCCTGTAATAACACAAAATTATAGAAGAAAAAACAGAGATTCAGCTTTTCTGTGTTTCGGCATTAATGAAAGTTCTGGAATATAGCACTGAACTATGTGTATGTTTTTGTGGAACAATTTGTGGATTATTGACATTGTTTAGTTTTATTCATATATAAACAAGTATACCCTTCCTTCATTTGTATAAGTAAATGGCAGTTTATAATTATATATTTCTATTTTTTATGCATGATAAGAATTAAAGTAATGTACTAGTAAAGTTCCAAATTATTTTTTATTTCATAAACGGTTGTAATAATAAATTTTAGCAAATATATTTTAACATAGTATTGCGATGTCTGGCATGTATGTCTGCACTTGTATAAACATCTTTTTGCGAGAAGATTTTTTGTAAATGTTCAAATATTAAAAAACTAATTCTGTGGTAAGTTGTAATTTAAATAATTATCATAATATTTATTTGATTTATGTCTAGTTTGTGTAATTTTATATATTTGTCTAAATAACTTTCATAAGATTAAATCCATCTTTTAAATTATGGGATCTAACCTTTAACTATTTAGAATCGAGCAAATCTTACCAACTAGAACTCTGGCAACCTATTAATTGCTCTGTCTTGATCAATATAAATGTCTTTCTGAAATTTGAAACTTGCCCAAGAAAAAATAATAATATATATTGGGAGTACAAATTAGTTCGGTCCGTTTCAAAAGATGGCTCTGGCTGTTATAGATGTTTCATAGTGACAGCTGGTTTTGATATTTTCAGAGAGGTTAGACATCTGTCAGTAATATTCAGTTTATATCGCTTTTAGTTTCATACAAAAACCCTGTTTTTTACTTTGTTGAATATGTCAAATTTTGTGGTAACTAAGCATCATTTGCGGGAGGTTTTATGTTTCTTCTTTAATTGGAAGAAAAGTGCAGCTGAAGCACATCGAATGCTTGTAGAAGTTTATGGTGAAAATGCTCCAACTGATAAATCATGTAGGGAATGGTTTCGACATTTCAAGAATGGTGAATGGTGTTGTATACTATGAGCTGTTACAACCTGGTGATTCCATTACGGCTGTTTGATATAGGCTACAATGGATTCGTTTGAACCGTTTTTTACAAGAAAAACAGCCGGAATATGAGCAAAGACATGACAAAGTTATTCTTCTGCGTGGTAACGGTCGGCCTCATGTCTCAAAATTGTAAAAAATTATTTGGAAACGCTCGAGTGGGATATTTTACCGCACCTGCCGTATTCACCGGATATTGCTCATTCTGATTACTAGTTGTTCAAACGGATACAGCACGATTTGGCAGATCGCCGGTTCACTTCTTTCGCAGAAATCGAAAATTGGCTCCTAACTTGGAGCGCCTCAAAAGACAGGACAATTTTTCGAGATGGAATTCGAAAATTGCCTGAGCAGTGGGGAACAGTGGTAGCTGGTGATGGACAATGTTTTGATTAATCTGTTCATTCATTTTGTTCTGAAATAAGTGCATTTTTGACCACAAAAAAGCGATCTGAACTAATTTGTACTCCCAATATATAGATATATGTATATATGTAATAGTTGGATGAATTGCTTGATGCTTGATATTCGTTAAATCTCAGTATTTGACCACCAACTGATTCATCTTGATCTGTAGGACATATGCTAAGTAAGCATAAAAATAGTAGTAAGACATATAATAAGAGAAAATGGGTTGGAGCAAGCTCCTAATTTAAGAATTATGATATTGAGCGCACTAAACTAGTATGGGCGAATTGCATCATACGTCATCATTTAAACCACCTACTTCCTCATTGAAAGGCACCAGAAGAGAAAAGCCCTGGTATCCACGGAGCCACAGTGTCCGGATGGGAAAAGTCCCGAATTAATTAATAACTCTTACTCTTTTCTATAGAACAATCTAATTTCATTCTTGATACTGCAACACTGCATGCAGGCAGCTCTCACTGTTCATCATTTCGCTGTTAAACTTATTTCCTTTTTTTTGTTAAGTTTCATGTATTAAACTATTGTCTTTTTTTCCTCCCTTGCTCCCCAAACCCCAACATATATATATGTATAATATATATAGAGAGAGAAAATTTTATCAATTCAATTTTATCAATTTTTTCAGTCTGCTGTAGTCTATAGAAGCCATTTTTGGCAGAAATTACCAAAACAAGTTTTGAAATTTTTTGTTTTGATGGGGAAACAAATTCCTATGTTTATTTATTTATATTTTAAATTAGGTTAGAGAATTATTTGTGCTCATTAAGAAACTTAGAAGAGTAGATTTATTGACTATAGTTTCAACTGTATTTGCAAAATTTCTTCAGAAGTAATAAAAATTACTCCAAGTTAAATTCTTTAAAAATTAAAAACTAGGTGTTATGGATGTAGTACAATATGTTAACCTTCGTAACTTACACCAAGACATTTTTTCAAAAAAATTTTTTAAAAGGCTCAAATTTTTTTGCTGAGTTATATTCTTTTAAAACCAGCAAATGTAATAATTCAAAATTGTCGATTTTTTCTTTACATTTTATGAGAGGAAAAATAAATATTTTTATGTCTCTTGAAAGAGAGATATATTTGGCAGCATTTTATTTTTATGGCATATTTTTTAATGAATGTATTTAAGGAATAAATTTAAAATTTCAACAACAAAATATTTATTTATTTTTTTGAAAATCAATGACCAATTCAGCATTTTTATCTTAATTCTATTTTTCTAAAAAGAAAAAAATTATCAGGAATTTTGAGGAGAAAGCTTTGATGCAATTTTAATTTTTATGATAAAGTATGTGACAATGTGTTCATGTAATTTGCATGGAAGTTTTATTAATACACAGCTTTTTGTGCAATTTTTCGTTTTGGTACTTGTTTTTCATATATTAATATATGCTGTGATTGATTTTCTGTTAAAAGCGTAAGTAAATTAATTTTGAATTTAATTTGGTTACTTAATTTATGAGCAAATTAAATAGTAATTCCACAGAAAGTATCTCCATTAAGTATTTGATTCATACCTAATATACATTATTTCCCAGGTGAAGCGAAGACTAAACGACTTGGTAAAAGAATTGCAGCTGAATTGATGTTGGAACAATTAAAAATTTATGAAGATATTTCAAATGAAGAATCAAAAGATAATAAAACTCCAAAGGTAAGTTTTAAATTGATTAAACATTCGTGAAGTAGTGAGAGGATATGGGCAAACTAATAATGTGTTGGAGTTGCTGGGATTATTGTTGATTGCTTATCATTTACCAAAACTCTTGTGCATTTATTTTTTCAAATAAATTTTTTTTTATTAACCCACTGACTGTAATGTGCAGTCTTCTCTGCATAGCTAAACTGATTTTTCAACGTTATTAAGTAGGAAAATAAAGTATTGGGGAGAAACATTCTTCCAATTTTGTCCATTTGCTAAACTGCCTGTGGGTTTAAGAATAAAATTGAACATAATATTGCAGGAATGAACAAATCCAATATCTCTTAAAATCTGTAACTGCTGTATAATTGTTTTATTCTCTAATCTTCCTTCAGGTTTATTTCATATATTAGAAATAGTATGGTGGAACAAATGTTTACTTTTATTTTTTAAATCAAATTTGCCTATGGTATAAAAGGTTGTGTACTGGTACCAAATGTTTGTAAAAAAATATTTTTTTAATATCTTTAGGCCTCCTACCAGGCCTCTGAAATTATGTAGAAACATAAAAGAAAAATTTCAATTTTTTATACATAATTTTTTTTAATCGCCTGTAGAGAAAATAGTTGCGTTATATAATTCTTCATTAATAAAAAAAAGATATAAGTTATTTAAGACTTAGACTGGACTGGATTTAATTTTATTATGTCATTTTTATTTATTACTTAAATTTTTTTGTGTTTCAAAATGTTTACCATCTGCAATAGAAAGAGCTGCAGAATAAAACTCTTTGTTTGTGAAAAAAAAATATTATTGAGTCGTATTATATCTACCATCCATGTCAGGGCCTTGAACTTTGCATGATTGGTTGTTTTGTTTCACTATTTCTGTTTAGTTTTGAATATTACTACAAGATATCGGTGAATACTGACTTAAAATGTTTTTATCAAATATGTGAAACGATACATTCTAGATATTGTACAAAAACGTTATCCACCAAATCGCCAAGAAAGCTTTTACACTCCAGGTGGCTTTCTGTCGCAAATAGGGTACTTCGTCTTTATATTGCTGCAGAAGAAGTGCCATCACATGAAATGGTGACTATTGTAGAATATACATGGTTGCCACTCCACGGGGAGAGTAGGGATAAACCTGGAAAATACAGGGAATTTATAAACCAACTAAAATAACAGGAAAATGCCGGGAATATTAATTTTTTCTTTACAAACTGGGAAAATACAGAGAACTTTGTATCTCATTTCCGTCTTTTAAAAATTGGTGACCACTCAAATCGTAATCTATTGAATATTTAAGGATGATATTTCAGTTAAACTAAACTATTTCATTTAGTATAGCATTATTTAAGTATGTTCAGTTGTTTCTTTTTTCCTCTAAGTTTGTCCCTCAATGAAAATTAGTATAAATAGCCCAATATAGCTCACACAAGAGCACAGTAATTGCTGTTTCTTCTTAATATATTGTGTATAATATGTACAGGGAAAACACAGGGAATTTTTTTTTCAGTTTCGAGGGGCAACCTTGATATATTATAAAAGTGTATGTGAAATTTTGGTTACTCGTTAAAACTGGGCCTTCATGAGCAGCCAGCTCATGTATCTTTGAGAAGTTATCCCTAAAGTTATTTTAATATTAGCAACGATCTAAAAACTGGCAGGGGTAATCCGAAATTCTGAGTTTTTCGTATCATTTCTCCGGGTTAGTTATTTTAATATCAGAGATCAATTTTCGTATTTACTCGATTTAAAACTATGTGTTGAGATTTGTATTCACGCGATTTAAAAATCAAACGTCGCAATTCTTGTTTCTGTGATTTAATCTCCTTGGATAATAAACCATGATAACACAAAATTTAAAAGCAAGCTAGCAAAAGCAATGTTGTCAAGAACATCTTAGCCTTTTGTACAAATTGAAATCTCCTCTTAGACCATTATGCAACTCTCTGAGCATTTTACATATCATTGTAGGAAAAACAAAAAATCAAGTTTAGTTGCAACACTTGCAACATCTTTTACTGATAATAAAAATGTAGCAAATTATTTATGGAGTATGTTACTTACCCAGAAAAATTTCTCAACCTCGAGCTTTATGTTACGGTAAGTGAGAAAAAATACAAATTTGAGGGGAAAATCCGACTGATATTCCATTATAAATATTTACAACATGTGTCTCAATATGATTTTTGGCGTATTCACCACACTAAAGCATGTAGGCGTAATTAATTACCTTTTTTATGCAGCTATACTGTCTTAGAAAATGTTCTTTGCTCTGAATATTTTTTTTAGATATAACGCATAAATATTTAATTATTTTATGTAATATTATTATTCTATGATTCTAAAATTATTTTATTTACTTTTCTAGGATGAGTGTGAAAATATTACAATGGTACGCATAAATATTTTATTATTTTATGTAATATTGTTATTCTATGATACAAAAATTATTTTATTTACTTTTCTAGGATGAGCATGAAGATTACGCATAAATATTTTATTTTATGTAATATTATTATTCTATTATTCTAAAATTGTTTTATTTACTTTTCTAGGATGAGTGTGAAGATAGTACAGTTTCACAATTGTGTAAAGAAACATCCTCTTGTACACTGTCTGATTCTGGCACTAAATCTACCTCCGAAGAAAACAATTTAGTGAATACCGATATGATTGTTGAAAATCAACAATGATAAATACTAATATAAACTTATAAATCTGTGATGCTTATTATCCTATGATTGTTTGTCTCTGCGTATGTGTGTGTTTTTTTTTTTTTATTATTATTGACGCAATATTAATCAGTTTTATACAACTTTAAAACTGATGTTATTCATTTACCTATTATTGTATATTTTAAGCATTTAATTTACAAAACTAGAATAGCTCTGTAGTCAATGTTTGATGTTCCAAAAGTGACGACCATTTAGAAAAATTGTGAATCATGATAAGTGTTAAAAATTTTTAAATATCACGTGTATGTCCTTAACCCTTTATTTACTCAAATTTTTTTTAACATCTGGCTAGTTGGTAAGTTCAAAAGAAATTTTCCTATGTATGAACATATAAAAAAAAATTCTGTGAATAAGATCAGTCAGAAAATTAAAAATTTCTATGCCGAGCATAGTTTCCCCATTATATAACATTAAGGGTGCACATTGTTTTTTGAAGAATGGCTGCAAAAAAAATTTTATTTTTTTAAGGGCTGCAGCTCATAAAGGTTTTGTATCAACTTAAAAAAACTTAATTATTTATTGTAACTTAATTATTAAGAACAATATCAATTAATCATAATTAAAAAAACAAATTGTATGTTTAATATTTTTGAATTGAAAAGACACTTGAAGTTTTGTGTGCTTTGCCTTCTTCAATAAAATTGATTTATAGCAAGTTTTTATCTGTCTTTGCTAAGAAATTAATTTTAATTTTTAATATTTTCTTGCTTATATTTTACAAGGTGCGTAGCGTTTTTATTTAGTGCTTATAGGTGCTTATTTTTGTTTACTTTTTTTAAATGCTTTTTTTTTAAAAAAGTGCTTAATTTTTTATCTTTTATAAAGAGATTTTTTTCTTTGCCATGTCGATTAATGTTCTAAATTACAAAAAGAATCCATGATTTTCCCAATTTTCTCTGCAATATTTATCAGAAACTAGTTATTTTATCATGATCATGTAAAGTTTTTGAATTTTATTGATTTTATATTTATAAATTAAGAACTTTAAACGATATAGAATAAAATTTATTACTGCACAGATCCTAATTATGACTTTTTTTTCCTTGAAAAGTGTTTAAAAATATTTTTTTGAGTGCTTAAAAAGTTCTTGAAAGTTGCTTATTTTTTGTTGAAAAATCTAGCTACGCAGCCTGTTTTAAATTATCAATTAATAATTTTTATTTTTAATGAACTTTTGCTTTGAACAATATTTTAATTAAAGGAAATTCTATTTTGAAAGTTTTAACTTTGAATTAGCTATTTGTGCCGGAATTACTGTGAATTAGCTTAACTTTAAATTAACTACTACATTTTTAGATTCAGTGTTATAACTTCAATGTTTTATTTCTATTTTTATGGAAATTAAATTAAAAATTAATTAAATTTCTTGTAATAGTTATGTTTTTTCTTCTAATTTAATAATTTTACAAAGCAGGCAGGAAGCAGCATTTAATCCCCAAGCAATAGATTGTACGCTCCTAAATGTCATGATAAAAGCTGATTCCCTGTGACAAAAACAATCCTGTTCCTTCTCAGGATAAAAATATTAATGGATAAAATTGATCGTCATCCTGTGAAATGTTGCTTGTATCAATAAAATTCTGATATTTGGGCATGATCTTACAAATTTATCCTTAATTTTTAACACTAATCAAACTTTATTTACAATTTAAAAATTATGTATATATATATATTTGTGTGTTTATAAGACTAGGTATTACTAGATGAAATTGTTTAATTGAAAAGTATAATGAGTGTAACCCAATTTACGTATTAAAATATTTCCTTTATAAAATATGAAGCAAATAATTTTTTTTACATAGAACTTATATAAAAATAAATTTAGTGATTTGCAACTTGTACAATTAGATTTTAATTTGAAAATTCATTATATATTGAAACTTGTCAAATTTGTCATGTATTTAAGTTATCCTGTATGCACAAGAAGTAGATTTATTCTTTGTAAATGAAAATTTTTAAAAAAGCAATTAAATGTAAACTGACCATTCAAAATTAAACAAATGTGGCTAAGAAACTTGCATTTAGAATTAAGCATAAAAGGCTAAATTCTATAATATTGAAGTTAGCATTTTATGCTTAATATATATATTCTATTCTATAAATATTAAAATGAATATGTTATTCTCAGTATTGCATATTGAGAAAAATAAATCAAAATTTGTTTTTTTTTCTGCCAATTACTTTAAGAAATTAGTTATATAAAGTATTTAATGTGTCTATACCATTAATGAAATATACCATTTTTTTTATGAGTTTAATTTTAAGTTTGTTGAAAGAAAAATAATTTCTTAAGCAGTGCAAAACAAAATAAGCATATAATTGCTATTTTAACTACTTCCTCGATTATCCCGAGTTAACACGGGTATGTATATATTGCAAATATTTATTTACCTGAGTAAACTCCGGCATAGCAGAATTCGTCAATACGTTTTGTTTTATCACGTTTTTATTCAGCCGGAAGCAAAACAAAAAATAATAATAATCTGCTGTGATTGGAAGGTTGCAATGTTTGTTTGGGAAGTTTGCTATTTGTGGGGCTGCAGACATGTTTTGTACATTTGTATATACGATGGTTGAGGAATTTACATAGAAAAATAGTTTTAAAAAAATGGCGTTCGCGAGCAAAAGTGAAAGTAATGCAGATGATTTTTCAGATTATTAAGATGTGAACATATACAAAGAATAATATTTAACTTTTTTCATTTGCCTAAGATAATTTGGGATAGTAAACCGATGGTAAATTAAATATTTTTTGCGCATTAAAAAAAATTAAAGTTTCAACTTAGAACTTGTGTATTTTAGTTCCTTGTATTTATTAATGAAATAAAAAAATGTGTTGATTTTTTGCTTCTTTTTTTTTCAAAAAAATTGGTAAGGGAACCGATTAAAGTAATATTAAAAAATGAAACTCACCTGTGTATTGATAATGAGAATTAACTTTTGGTGTGAGATATGAAAAGAAAAAAAATTGACGAACATTCTTCTTAAAGTTTATCATTGTTGTCTCGCAATGCAAACTGACAAATTCACTATGTTATTTATATTTACCACAATTTAAAATCTTATTCTAAACTAACAAATTGCATACATTAGCCCTAGTGCAGGGATGGCGAACCAATGGCACGCGTGCCATCTATGGCACGCGTGACACAATATTTTGGGCACTCACCGATCACAATTGTTGTTACACTATTAATTGTTATTAAACAAATGTTATTACGCTATGAAGCATATATAACAATTAAATTAAAATTCACAAAAAACAAACAAAATAATAAAAAAATTAATACTAAAAAACAATTAATAACCGAAAAAAACAAGCTAACAATAAGTAACTAGCAAAAAAAATCGACAATCCTGCTTAAACTAACATCTTACAACCTAATATAAGTTATTGGTCATCTAATCTGCAACAACAGAAGTCACATTGATGTTACTTTAAGTTGAATTACTTGTATAACTGAGACATTGCAAAATGTTTTTTTTTTCAATGTGAATAAAGAGTTTTGAGTCGATAATATTTAGTATTATTATTTTCTCAATAATCACGAAGTCAAAATCATTTGACGGCACGTCTATGACCTCATTAAGCAATTTTTTGAGAAAATGGCACGTTAGTGTATAAAGGTTCGCCACCCCTGCCCTAGTGCATTCCAAAAATGAGGTTCATATATTGTAGTTGAAGAAATTAGCACCAGTATCATCAATAAAATATGCAATTTTCTTATTTTTTAACTAATTGATTTTTACTACAAACTTTAGTGAGATTTACTTCTGAAGAAGAAGTCCATAGTATTAGGCCCTGGAGTGGACGTGAAAATTGGCATGAGTTTAAATCCTATGTGATATCCTGAAAGGATAGTTTTCCTGATTTAAATGGAGATAAATTACGTTAAATAAAATTCAAAACTCTACAGAATAGACTGTTTGTTAATAGTTAAAAAGCTATTTTAATTAAATCGTAAAAAATCTTTTATCTTTAAATCATCAGGATAAGACAAGAAAATTTTGTTAGTATTTCAGACAATCTTTGAGCATTTAATAGAGAAGTAAAATTACATTGTTTTTGTTTTTTTTAAATATCATTGTTTGTTTTTTTAAATTTAATTTTTTTTTCTCCCAAAAATAATTTGCTCTTTTAATATTTGACTTTCACATAAATTTCACCCGGATAGAGTTGCTAATTCAAAATTCATTAAGGTGGACCTTATTGAATTAATTGTAGCACCCCGTGTATATTTTGTTAATGTTTTTATGCTTATTTAATTAATATTTTTATGTTTATTTAATTGCAAAGTAAAACTGTTTTGTACTAAATTAGAAATGACTTTATGGAAAATATTGCTGTTATCTTTCAAATGTCTCATTGCATGCAGTCCATATAATTTCATGTTATGCATCTACTTTATGTAATAAATCTAACCTAATGTGAAATCACCCATTTTAATTATTTCTTTTGAATCTGATACATAAATGTAGTTGCTATGCATGAATGTTTTGTTTACATTTTTTATTACTTCATGTAGATTTTTTTTTTAATTAATCAAAATGACTCTGTACTAGTCTTTTTTTCCGATTTTTTACAGTAAATCATAAAAATATATTTATATAATTGTTGATGCTTTTAATTAGCTGTTGAAAAAAACTCATCATACAACTTATTAAACATAATTTCTTGGACTATATTTGTTTATTTTTAACTGTTCGTAATCATGAATAGAAAATATGAGTTGTCTTTTGCTTTCTTACATTTTATGTTATATTGATGTTTTATGGTTTCATTTTAAATATTTTCAAGTTGAAAGTGGTGAAATTTGTAACAACTGTTAAAAGGTTACAATTATTACAATTCATAAAAATTAAAGGGTGTTCTTATGATAAAATATTTATGCATTTTTCTTCTATTTTATGTTTCATCATAATTAATTTGAAGGATATTGTTTTACATATTACATAGCTGCCAACTCTACTTGATTTCCCAGTTGACTATTGGATTTTGCCAGTTTCTCTGAATCTATTGTTTTAATAAAAATTCTCCTGGTTTTTGTACATTTTTGAAGATAACTAATACACAATGAAACAAGCCTTATTTATAGAAATCAGTTTTAAAAAAAAAATTTGTTTTTTTTTGTTCTAAAATGTTCAGTTTATTTTTATTCAGACCTCCCTTTTTAAATTAATTAAAAAATAGTTTAACTATCGTTGATGAATGAAATGCCTAATACTATTCAAAATTATGAATAAGCATAATACATCACATTTTAAGTATATTTAGTATCAATCATAACTGGAAAAGTTGGGTTATTTTTTTATTTCGATGACTATAAAAATCCCTACGCGTAAAATATTTAGTACATTATGCAGCAATTATCATGAAATTTTTATTATTTTGTAAAATCAGCTTTATAATCTTTTCCTATCCATGTTGGCAGCTATGATATTATAAATGTAAGTTTTGTATTTGAGACATATTTAACGTAAATTTGAAGAAAATTTTTCAAAGAATAATAATTTTAAAGTTTGTAAACATAAACTGAACATGCTTATTAGTTTCCTATAAAATGTTTTAACTAACATTAAGTAAGATAGAAACAATTGTTGGAAGATGATAGAGAAAAAAAGGTGTGAAAAATTCGAAACACAAATTTGTGAAATACAAAGGGTTTTGTAACTATGACAAAATTTAGAATTTGTATTTGTGGTATTAGGTAGTAACATGTTTACT